TGACAGCTTATGCTGGAGAGGATGTGGAGCAAGAGGAACACTCCTCCATTGCTGGTAGAAGTGTACAGTCCCTTTGGAAGTCAGTATGGCAGTTTCTCAGAAAATTGGGAATCAACCTACCACAAGACCCAGCTATACCAGCTCTTGGGCATATACCCAAAGAATGCTCAATCATACCATAAGGACACATGCTCAACTATGTTCATAGCAGCTTTATTTGTAATAGCCAGAACATGGAAACAACCTAGATGTCCCTCAACTGAGGAACAGATAAAAAAAATGTGGAACATTTACACAATGGAGAATTACTCAGCTGTAAAAACAAAAAACAAAAACAAAAAACAAAAAACAAGGAACCCAGAAAATTTGAAGGTAATGAATGGAACTAGAAAAAGATCATCCTGAATGAGGTAATCCAGACCCAGAAAGACAAACATGGTATGTACTCACTTATAAGTGGATATTAGCTGTAAAATAAAAGATAATTATGCTACAATCCACAAACCCAGAGAGACTAGGTAACAAAGAAAGTTCATGGGGGGACACCCAGATCTCTCTGGGAAGGGGAGATAGAGATTTTGTAAGTGGACTGAGGGCAGGTGGGGATGGGAACATGAGTGATCAGGTTGGGGGGTGGTATGGAGGGGAAGAGTGCTGTGGGGGACTGTGAGGGGGCCAGCATTTGGGGGTCAAGCGGAAGCCTAGCACAGGGGGGTCTCCCAGGAGTCTACAGGGAGGACCCCAGCTTAGACTCCTAACAGTAGCAGATAAGTAGGCTGAACTGGCTGTCTCCTGTGGCCAGATTGGTGCCTGGCCCAACTGTCATCAGAGAGATGCCATCCAGCAACTGATGGAGGCAGATGCAGAGGGCCACAGCCCAACATTAGGCAGAGCTCAGGAACCCTGCAGAGGAGGAGAAAGGAGTGTAGGAGGCAGAGGGGTCAAGGACACCACAGGAAGCCTCACACAATCAACTAACCTGGGCTCATAGAGACTTAACAGACAACCAGGGAGCCTGCATGGGACTGACCAAGGCCCTCTGCATATATGTTATAATTGTGTAGCTTGGTCCTCTTGTGGGACTCTTAACAGTGGGAACAGGGGCTGTCTCCTACTCTCTTACTGGCTTTTGGGACCCTACTCCTCATACTTGGTTGACTTGCCCAGCCTTAATACATGGGCAGGTGCTTAATCCTACTGCAACTTGGCATGCATGCTTTGTTGATATTCATGGGAGACCTGCCCTTTCCTGGATGGAGAAGGAAGAGGAGGGGATTTGGAGGTGGGAAGGAGGGGGCAAGGGGTGGGTGGGAGGGGAGAATGGTGGAGAGGCTGCAGCCAGGATGTAAAATAAATAGATGAGTGAAAAGTAAAAATAAAAACAAAAAATAAAAAACAATTAAAATTCTAATGCATAGCATTGTTGGATTTGCTTTAATTTACATGATATACTCATTGTAAAGGTTTATTCAGATCTAGTGAGGACCTGGGAAGAGTATAAGACCACACTCTACAGTTTAGAACTAGACTTGGCCTTGACACAGCTCTGAGTGGCAGGAGATAACTGTTTGACTCCCTGTAAGTCTTTGTTGTCTCATCCAAAATAGAAAGATACTTCCCTTAATAGCGGCGTTGTTGGAAAGGTTAGATGAGATCATGTGGGATGAATCGTATTCAAACTAGAAACTAGAGACAGCACAGATGAAATCCAAAGAGCTGTGGTAGATGGCGGTACAACGATGGCCACCGAAGTCCCTCACATCCCAGTGTGTGTATGTCACTCACATGCCGAAAAGAGATGCAGAAATAACTGATATAACTAATGGTAAAAGCTGATGCAGTCAACACTGGGATGGCTGCCCTTCGGGGCCCCACAGAGACATGCCTACAAGCCTCCACTATTTAAGCAATTCTTAGGAAATTTCTACTTTCCCTGTGTATTTGGTGAGCCTCTTTCTTATGATACCCCAACCAACGAAGGCAGAGATGGTCATCTTCTTTAGACTCTCCGAGGAGGGCTGACCTTGCTGGGTCTAACAATGGAGGCTCTGTGTCCATAACATTTAAGAAAGGCTCACCCCAGGAAAGCCAGTCAGAACCCTCCTCTCAGAAGCTTTAGGTGGGAAAGTCGGCTGGAGAATGGTGTCTGTCAACACAGGGGCCACCTGAGAAGCTGCACGGACACAGCCAACTGCCTGATGCTCTAGGTTCAAGAATAGACGTTGTTCATCAGACTGGAAACATGGAAAACATGGTCTATGGTACGCTGTCATTAAAACCACATAGGATGGGAACGGATCTCAGCACTTGTCTAGCAGGCATGAGGCCCTGGGTTTGAGACCCTAGCACAGAAAAAATTCAAAAGTCTTTGCAACAAGTGAAGCTGGAAAAAAAAAGAAAAAAAAAAAGGAACTTTAACATACAAGTCAGAAATGAAGATTAACGTTTATCTTGTCCTACTTGTGAGAATTAGTTCAGGATCCAGGGGGATGGCTCAGTAGGGGGGCTTGCTGGACAAACGTGAGGACTCCAGTGTGGATTCTCAGAACCTATTTAAAAGCCAGACAGGGAGGTGCACACCTGTAATCCTAATGTGGTGAATCCAAGGGGCTTGCTGGCCAGCCAGTGTAGCTGAAATGATGAGGTCCAGGCTCAGTGAGAGACTCGGTCTAGAAAATTAAGATGGAAAAGTAACTGAGGAAGACATTGGCTATCAACCCCTGGCCTCCATGTGCACATGCAGCTGTGCACAACCCACCACCCCACACTACCCCCACCAGACACATGCGCACGCGCGCGCGCGCGCACACACACACACACACACACACACACACACACACACACACGAATAACACACACAATAAATGAATAAACAAATACAATAAAAATAATTCGTTCAAGCTGGGCATACCTATAATCAGAGCTCTCGGGAGGCTGGGGCAGGAGGATCACAGGCTGTGTGGTGAGACTTACCTTAAAATATCAGTTCAAAATAAGTCATGGACCTAAATATAGACACTAAAGCCACTAACAGGAGAAATCTTAATGCATTACTTTCCATGTTGAAGTGACAAATACCTGACACAAGGGGCATAAAGAAGGCTTATTTTGGCTCACAGTTTGAGGGTACAGTCCCGGGGGGAGGGGAGGGAGGCATGCAGGGGTGTGGGCAGCTGGTCACATGACAGCAGCAGTCAGGCAGCAGAGAGAAACAGATGCTGATCCCCCACTGTTTTATTCTTTTTTATTCAGTGCAGGACCCCAGCCCGCGGATGGTGCCACCACCAACCAGTCAATCAAGGTGGCTCTTCCCTCAGTTAGCCCTCTCTGGAATTACCCTCCTAGACACTTGAGACGCATCTCTTCATTGACTCTAAATCCCATCAAATTAGCAATTAGGACTAACCGATCACACTCAGTAACCTTGAATTATGATATTAGGAGCATCATTCATATATAAAACAGACAAAAAGAAATGTTACAACCATAAGTTGGCTCAGTGGGCGACTGATGCCTGAGCTTGGTTCCAAGGACCCACATGGTAGAAGGAGACAACCAGTTTCCACAGGTGTTCTCTCACTCCATGTGTGTGTTGTGGCACACCCACACTCACATGACCATCACTCACTCACATGCACACACACTCACATGCACATACACTCACACACACATACACACAAAAATAAATATATAAATAAGTAAATAATTTTGTTAAGGGTCGTTCAGACCTGTGTACTGATGTGAAGAGCAGTCAGTGGACAATGCTGAATGGAACAGGAATGCAGCAGTCCATCTGACACCACTTCTCTACATGTTGCACATCTTTCCCACACATTCATTCAACTTGAACAATCAGACAGACTTTACTATTTATATATGCAAATAGAAAGATTGAGAATGTTGCACACCCACAGATTTCCTTTTTAATCTTAGAAATAGTTGTATTATGTACAATGCTTACAAAATATTTAACTTCCATTTTAAACAACATAAGGAATTAACTTAGGCAGAAAGAAGAACGGCCTTCTTTCTGTATGTCCAAGTCCAAGTCCTTTGCCCACATGCCCCAGGGGGCAGACAGAGCTATTGATTGCTGCTGGCAGACACACACAGCTCTGAGGCTAGTCTTTCTGGCCCAGAATTAATAGTGGTTCAGTTGCACAGAGGTCCCAGCCACCTCTGTCAGTGCATCAGCGGGTGATAGACAGAACTGGACAGCTGAGAAGCCTCAGTCTGTCCTCTGGAAACTTCATCTTAAATCAGATCCAGAATTCTAGGATGGAGCTTCACAATGCAAGTCTGGTTAGAAAGCCTGGGAGCCAGGGTCAGTCAAGCATATCTGGGTGGCAAGCTGCAGTTACAGCTCCAGTCAGGGGTTCAGTCGTCCTCTTCAGGGAGGAGATTCTTTCCATCTGGAGCTCAGTCATGACAGTGGCAATAATCTTTCCCATACTGTGCTGGAAGGAAAACTCATCTTAAAATATACTGTTTGAGAGGCAGAGGAGGGCCAGCAAGATGACTCAGCAGTTTAAGCACGTGCTACACAAACCCAATGCCCAGGGAATCTGAGGCTGGCCCTTCCCCAGGGATAAGCAGGAGAGGTGGCAGAGCCCAGACCTGGGCGAGCAACAGTTACCTCTATTTGAGTGGCAGTCATTCAGCTGATCGGCAGTTGCAAAGGTGACTCCTGCCCATGAGTAGGATGACCCAGGCAGTGTTCCTATCAATCAAATGGGTGGTTCTATTTATCTTTGCTGGGAGGATTGGCGTGGATTCTGATGGGGTGACATGAGGTAGACATATGAGGAAAAAGTCTTTTCACCAGGGGCATAGATTTGGAACATTGCACCTGAAATGCCTTACCAAATGTCTTACCATGTGGCAAGAGCCATTTAAACCATTCAGAAACAAGGATGTGTGTGTGTGTGTGTGTGTGTGTGTGTGTGTGTGTG